GTTTGCCTTCGCATGTGGCCCTCGCGGGGCCCCCTGATGCTGGGGGCCCCTGACAAATTGGGACAGGTGTCCCGCCTGTATCAACCTCTCGATGGCTGTCTTTTGCTGATGGCAGTCGTCGGTTCTATGCCCTTGGTGGCGATGAAAACGGTAGTAAGGTTCATTGGTATTGATGGCATATACCTCCGGGGGCACGCGAGAATCTCACTCTACGAGGCCCCTCTCCTCGGCGAAGTCAAGGATGACGCTGACGGGATGCGTCAGGGGTTTCCGAGGGTGCTCCAAGAGAACAGGCTGCGCCCAGGCCTACTGGTTGTTTTTGAAGCTTCCCTCGAGTTTGGCTTGGCCATGCCGGGGGAGATCACCCGAGGGGGCCGAGCCTTTGGATGGATGGAATGAAGCCCCCGGCCCCCTGTTGTTCCTGTCATCTGGCCTGGAACGTTGTTGATCGGGGTTTCAATGGGACCTCTCTACCTCCTCAGCCTCCGCGTATCGGTCTCCCCGCTGGAGGGCCTTTATATAGTTGCGTGGAGGCTCGATAAGGGTACGGAGGACCGTTTGCAGGAGAGCCATAAGGGTCCTATCGTCGGCGCCGTCGATCTTGTCCGTCTCTAGCCTCCAGCGCTCAAGGAAGTCCCGAAGAGTCTCCTCCTTTGTTGCCTCACTGTGAGTAGGTGGGAGAAGTGCTTCTTGGATCGCTGCCTTCCTGCAAATTGCGTCAAGAAGCGCTGGGCTAGTTCCTACCAAGAGTCAATGCTGCCCTCGGGCAATCGGTTGAACCAATCGTATGTCGGCCCCTCCAAAGTGGAGAGGAACCAACGACACAAATATTCATCCGATGCCCCTATCATCATCATGCTGTTTTGGTATCTGCTGTAGTGCTCCTCGGGGTCAGTCTTCCCTTCATAGGGCTTGATGGGTTGCCCTCGATATTTTCCCGGAATCTGGGCCGCCAACACCCTTGGGGTGAATGGTGTCCTAGTCCGGAGCTGGATTATGGGTCCCCCAGAACCCTCAACAAATTTTCTTTACATCTCCTCCATTTTGGCCAGCATGGTGGCGTATTTGGGGTCCGCCTGTGAGGCGGAAGCGGTCATATGTGCTTGGCGGACCTCCATTTCGTCAAGGCGGCGTTGGAGGGCCTCAATGATGTCATCTCTGGGGTCCTTCGGCATTGGCTCCGCCCCAGAGATTGCACGCGGGCTGAGTGAGCCTGGTTGATTTGGTGTATGGCGTCATCGGCATGTAGTGGTGCCTTTCCTTTGTCCTTAGGGGGACGCCTCTCGTCTACCCTCGATACCGACCCCCCGCTTTCTTGAGGTCTTTGGAGCGCCTTACCACCGAGGTGGTCTTGGACCCCTCGACGATCATGCACCCCTCCGAGTCTCTCAAGGGCGGAGGTCCGAGGCCTCTCTTGTTCGCACCGCGCTGGTCCCGGGATTGGACTTCCTGGGATGCGGTGTTTTGGGACATGACCCCTTCGTTGTTCCCTAGCCGAATGATAGGATTCACGAAGGGCGGCTGATGGAGTATATGGTCCAGGGACCCCCGGCCCACATACTTCCACTATTACAATCAGGCCCAACAGGCCCGAAACGGGCCAAGCCCAGCAGAATGAAGCACCAAGCAACCCACAATACATGAAGGAGTGCCTTCAGCCCCATGGCCGAAGGCTACCAATGACAAAATGGGGATCAGCAACATCACGGGAAAATAAGGCTTGAAAACCATGCCTTCGGCATATGGAGCCCTCGGCGCTATGAGGCCCCCAGTACGCGGAGCCTTCGACCTGTCACCTACAGCCGAAGGCATCCTCCTCAACAGGATCTCCCATCCACATGCGCTGGATCACCGTACCAAGTACAAACGTCGCATCCAACCACCGCATTTAATGCGGTCACATGCGAGTGCTAGCGCCACCCCCGGTTGCGGTGACCCCTCGACCACCAGAATACGACACGTGTCCCTATCTAGCATTTATTGCTGCTATAAATAACACCCCTTTCCCCATTTGTAAACCACGGCTTCTATACATGCTGAATTCACATATTGAATACTCACTCTCTCTCTTACTCATTGCTCTGACTTCTCTTTAGCTACTCTCTGCAGTAACCCCTCGGATAAGCTACCCCCGGGTACACTATCCATTAAGGGCGGAGGTGGGGGAGGAATGGCGTTCTCCCCGACCTGCGGCTGAAGTGGTACCAGCGTGCCGAAGGCACCTGGATTCTGGGTGAGTGTTTGGATGAAGGCAGAAAATGCTGACTGTACGTTAATAGTGAGGACCGGAGGGCTCACTTGATTTTCGCTCTGATCCCTCCTTCGGGTTTCGATGCCAAGGCGGGCATCAGGAGCGTTTTGGTGGAGCTGAAGGCGCAGGTCGACAACAGCCTGTTCCAACCCAGCGATGACTCCGCCCTCGGGAGCCTTGTTGGAGGCTCCGGGGGCGTCGACTTCGCCGAGGGCCAGGTTGTTGTCCTCAAGGGTCTTGGACTGGGCACAAGTGGTTCTTCCCATTTTGGTAGGTGTTCTGAGCTGAAGGGGAGGGTTTCTTACTTGATTGTTCGACCTTTCAACGAGAGCACCAAATGATGGATAGTGTACACATGGGGTAGCTTATCCGAGGGGTTATTTCAGGAATATCTTAGAGAGAAGTCAGAGTAAATAAGTAAGAGAGAGAGGGTATATTCGATATGAATTCAGCTTGGTTTACAATGGAGAAATGGCCTGCTATTTATAGCAGCAATAAATGCTAGATAAGGACACGTGTCAATAATCTGATGGTAGAGGGGTCACCTCAACCGAGGTGGCACAAGCACACGCATGTGCGCCGCATTAAATGCGGCAGGTAGATGTGACGCCGCATTAAATGCGGCCGTTGCTTGTCTCTAAAGGGAATCTTCGATGTCTGTGCTGTAGCCGAAGGCTCCTCTGTGGCCGGGAGCTGTATGTAGCCGAAGGCTACCCAAGTGCCGAAGGCATATGTGAGCTGAGGGCTCCTAACTTTCGTTGTTTTCTCCCAGTAGGTTTGTATGTGTAAGATTAGCTGTCTTATGAGTTTTTTGGGCCTTCGGTCATGGGGCTGAAGGCACCCCTTGCGTACTGTGGGCTGTTTAGAGCTTGATTTTGCTGGGCTTGGCCCGTCTAGGGCCTGTTGAGCCTGATTGTAGTTGTGGAAGTATGTGGGTCGGGGGTCCCAGGACCATATACTCCATCACAGTGATTTGTCCATACCAAATTGTATGGTAAATCGTGATTTTGTGAGAAGGATACAAACAACGGAAGTTAAAGAAGCTCTGAGGAAGATGAGCGGAAGAAAGTAGTGGTTCCAGATGGCATACCGATCGAGGCTTGGAGAAGTTTGGGAGAGAGAGGCGTCGAGTGGTTAACAAGTTTCTTCAACATGATTCGGAGAAACAACAAGATGCTAAGGAGTTGGGGGAAGAGTACTCTTATCCCCTTATTTAAGAATAAAGGTGATGTACAAGAATGTGCCAACTATCGAGGGATTAAGCTTATGAGTCACACTATGAAACTTTGGGGGCGAGTGATTGAGCAAAGACTTCGATGAATTGTGAAGATTTCAGAGAATCAGTTCGGTTTTATATATGCCTGGTCGCTCAACAACTGAGGCCATTCACCTTCTTCGGCAACTTATGGAGAAGTATAAAGACGCTCATAAGGATCTGCATTTGGTGTTCATTGAATTAGAAAAGACATATGATAGGGTACCACGAGAAGTTCTTTGGTGGGCCTTAACTAGAAAAGGCATATCACGCAAGTATATTAACATCATCATGGATATGTATGAGGATTGTACTACAAGTGTCCGTACTAGTGTAGGGAGGATTGAAGAGTTCCCTATTACTATCGGAGTGCACCAAGGATCGGCTCTGAGCCCTTTCTTATTTGCCATAATCATGGATGAACTTACGAAGTCAATTCAAGACGATATACCATGGTGCATGATGTTTGCCGATGATATTGTATTGATTGATGAGACGCAATCGGGTCTTAAAGCAAAGTTGGAAGTATGGCAGCAAACATTGGAGAATGAGGGTTTCAAACTAAGTCGGAGCAAAGCAGAGTACATGGAGTGCAAGTTTGGTGGCGGTAGAAGCAGTGTTAATAGCGGAATTACTCTGGATGGTAAGGAGATACCGGTCAGCGATATGTTCCGTTACTTCGACTCCATAATTCAGAAGGACGGTGAGTTAGATGGAGATGTATCCCATAGAATCAGAACATGGTGGATGAAGTGGAAGAGTGCGTCAGGATTTCTATGTGATCGAGGTATGCTGACTAGATTGAAGGGTAAATTTTATAGGGCATCAATTAGGCCATCATTACTATATGGCGTAGAGTGTTGGGCGGTGAAACAATGTCACATTCAAAAGATGAGTGTGGTAGAGATGCACATGTTGCGTTGGATGTGTGGGCATACTAGGAAGGACCGCATGAGGAATGAGACAATCAGACAAAGGGTGGGAGTAACACCTATTGAAGACAAGATGCGGGAGTCGCGCCTACGGTGGTTTGGTCATGCGCGTAGAAGACCGAGTGATGCACATGTCAGACGAGTTGGGATGTGTGGAGAAGAGGCAAGGAAGAGAGGTAGAGGAAGACCCAAACAGACGTGGGTTAGGGGAGTTCGAAGTGATATGCTTCTTCTGGGGTTGGATGAGGGCATGACTTTGGAGAGAGCTAAGTGGAGGGCGGGTATTCGTGTAGAGGAGTGATCTCGTATCATCTTTTCCCCTCATCTTTTTTTTCCTTGTTTTTTATCCTCATATATATAAGCATTATTTGTATCCTTTTTATTTTATCATTTTTATGTATATTCATCTGTTTTTATATTATCTTTTTATAATAGTTTATCTTTTTTATCTTTATTTTCTTTCCTTTCCTTTTGGTGGTGATATCATGTATCAATTCATGTTAGTCGACCCCAATATTTTTTGAGACTAAGGCTCGGATGTTGATTATTGATAGTGAACAAGCATTTATATGAAGCAAAACGATGAATTATTTATATACTTCGTATAATATAAATATAGAAAATACTAGTATATATTTTACAGTATTGGAACAATCTTATCACGGGCAAGGTCTGGGGTAACACCCTAGCTAAGAGTGATTTATTATTGATTACTCCTAGTTAATACTCCCTCAATATTTTAATGTTCACTACATGAGGTTGGACACATTATTTAAGGAGTAAAGGAGTAGGGGTAGTGAATAATGTACAATAAGTAGGAGAAATTGTGTAAAAGTATGAAAGAAAAGATAAAAAGTAGATAAAATAAAGATAGTTGAGTATTTTAGGGAAAATGTGCAAATAAACCCTCAAACTAACACAAAAAATGCAAATCACCCCTTTTATAGAAGCTTCTATCTTACCGTCGTCATTTGGGGTGCTTACCGGTGAATTTTTTTGATGATTTTTTTATCATCTTCTTCATTAAGTCTAGTTTACCTATACCAAATTTTAGGTACAAATTCAACCGGGAAGACAGTCAAATGATTTTCTGAAATATACTACGTTGTTTAAGTGCGCAATTATCTTCAAACATTTATCTGACTCCCTTCACAATTGAATGCTTAACTGAAATTTGATATGGGTAAACTAAACTTAATAAAGAAGATGGTCAAAAAAATTCGTCAAAAAATTCCACCGGGAACTGCCTCAAATGGCGACGGCCGGATAGAGATTAAAAGGGTTAATTTGCACTTTTCCGGTTAGTTCGATGACTTATTTGCCTTCTTTTCCCAGTATTTTACGAGGAGTAAGCTTACCAAAAATGAAAGCCTAAAAAACTTTTAAATGGCAAGGAAGAGTAGTTAAGAGTGATTTATTATTGATTAATCCCATCAAAGCCGAATAAACTCGAAAAAACTTGGAAAAATGAAAGTTGTAGTTTCCCCGGTAGAAGCGGTTGAGGCGACCCATTGCCAGCATCATTAAGGTGCGTCAGTCTCACGAATCACTTTCGGTTTATTAATATTCACTTATCATACTCAGCTCCGCCCCCAACTGTGAGACTGATCACATTTTTCTGTTCTTCACTTTAGGAGTTTTGACTTGCATAAAAATGGATCTTCCAGGAGCATTAAAATCCAATTGTACCGGAAAATTGCGTTTTATGGTGTTGAAAAGCTCGATTATTGAGAAACCCATTGTTTCTGGGTACCTGAAGAACATGGTCGTGGCTACTGGTTTACTTTCCGTGTCATCATATCGGGTCGAGAGTTCGGAGATTTTCCGTATCAAATTGCCAACAGGCGGTGCCTTCTCGCCATCCGGGTTCTCGAGATCGTTTGTTATCAGAGCGACGGGTAAGAAAAATACAGGGAGCTTTAATCCTGATTTATCTTCTTCTGGTGTGCTCAATTTCTTACATTTCTTTTGGACTACTTAAACTGAACATTTGTGATTTTTAAAGTGAACTTTTCGAATTTTTCAATATAAGGATACCTTATCTCGTGTAATTGGATCTCATTTCGCCTTTGTCTGGGAAGAGAAATGGCTATGAACTGTGGGATATATCTGTTGTTAATCTTTTATGAAGCTATGTTTGGTATGTAATGCAATGCAATGTAATAGAGTATGTAATGCGATAAAAATTGTAATGTAATGGATGAAATCAATATTCCATTACCATGTTTGGTTAGCGGCCGTGGAACACCCAGACAGAAGAAAAAGTGCAGATTTGAAAGGGAAAAGTTCATCAGCTTGGAGAGGGAGCAGCTGGCCGCACGAAAAGAAATACAAGAAAGTGTATTCTCAAATACATAAATTTTCTAATGTAAAGATTATTACACATATTAAAGTAATGGATTCCACATACTTGATGCACATTACATTATGGTTTAAAATAAAATGTCATGCCAAACATTGTATTTGAATCAACACATAATGCTCATTACAATATATGATTGATTATATCATACCAAGCATAGCCTAATTATAATCCTAATATTTTATACTCATAGAATTGGAATTTTCAGAAAAAACATAAGTGAAGAAATATTAGTACTTTTGGGCCATTCATTTTACACCCTAAGGCACGTAACTTTGTGCTACTCTAGTTGAGAGATAGAGCCTCTAGCATATAACTTACTTATTAGGTTGAGTAGAACTAGTGAGAGAGAATGAACATTTTGTAAGGAAGAAGGATAATGAAAAAGTACACACCCCATTTTTGTTTTTGTCATACAATTTATTTCATTTTCATGACAAATTGTTGGTGACGCTGACAAAATTTGAGAAACAATTTTGTGTGTGACACAAACAAATTTATTTTTATCGGTGTCACAGACACCACCTTATCAAAATGACAAAAATGTTTGTGACACAACTGGTGGCGTGTACACAACTGGTGTGCACACGAAGCCGCTTTGATGCATAATGTGGCGTTCCACATTGAAAAAATGAAAAGAAACATGGAAGTGGACTAAATGAATGATGCTGGACTTCATATTATAGAATGCTTAAAATTTTAGTCTGTTGGCTCAATACAAGCCTTATTCGCAAAAGATTTTGGGGTCGGCTAATATGAATCGATCCATGATATCAGAGCCAAAAGATGAAACATAATAAGAAAAAAAGCTAAAGTAAGATAAAATGGATAAGATAAAGATAAATATAATTTTAAATAACATAAGAACACAAGAAAGACAAAAGATAAAAAGATAAAAGAGCATAAGAAAGATAAAAGAAAAGTATAACAGAAAACATACAAAGATAAAGAAGATAAACGATAAAAGAGAACGAGAGAAAAGAGATCATTCGTCTGCACGAATATGCGCCCTGTACTTTGCTCTCTAAAGCCATACTCTCATCCAACCCAAGAAGAACTCTCATATCAGTTTTGTGTTGTGCTATAATTCCTATAAATTCTTCATACTCTATCTTCAGTCTCCGGTGTTTGTGATGTAATAAAAATGTGTAGTCTCTAACCAAGTGTACAATGCTTCTCAAAATGAAGGTAAGCATGACAATTCATTTGCAGAAGATAATGGTTCTAATGAAAGCAATCCTTTTTCCGAAAAGAACACCAATCGTGATGGTGGCCAGAATTCCTATCACAAGTCCATTGATTGGAGAGATTTTAGAGCTTCTCTTTATATTCAGGAGCAGGTATTATCTCTTGTAGGGACACTGTTTAGTTGAATACTTATGAATTTTCCGTTTTCACTTCTTCAAACATAGCCTTTGACATATGAGAATAATAGATGCGACTCCTACTTAATTTATCTTCTGCTAAAAAAATTCCTTATGGTTAACTAAGACACACATGGTCTACCACCTGGTTCATGTGTTCGTGTGCTGATAACTCATAGCCTTTTTTTATTTTTATGTAGTGCATTGTGTACATTTGGCCTACCTCCAAGTAAGGCTTTTAAGGCCTAAACAACCTCTGCCTTACATTAGGGAATAAGTTTCATCAACCATTAAAAGAAAAGTGTTTATTTTTATACTTTAAAGGGGTTTTGACCAAAGGAACAATTCCAAGGCAAGACATTATTCTGCTGAATACTTGTTCATCTGATGATTATTAGAACATTTCGCCTGTAGTTGCTGAACTGAAGCGTTATGTGAAAAAGAAATCATCGAAATCAACTTTTCTGGTTGTCATCCTTCTAAGTCCGTATCAAATCTTGTCTCTCCATTATATGTGGGTCAAGTCAGCTGAACCTGAACTCCTACAGTTATAGGTAATTAGTTTCCCTTTCTTAACCAAGTCCCCCATGGGGGGTCACATTTTCAGGAATAAGAGTAGGATAGCTACTTTATATTTGTAATAATAAAACTTCAATCAAACATTTGTAAGAGGAAAAAGTTAAACATTTTCTTATAAAAATGGAGCATTTTTTCTATATTCTATTATTCTCCTACAGATACTTCTTAATCTCCATCAAATCAACATGCCATGCTGTGGGCTAGAAGCTTTTTTGTTATCTCTAGTACACTAGCGCCGTTGGCTAATTTTGAATATGTCACAACTCATGACAGTTGGGCCATTAGGGGAGTGGAAGTTTTGTACTCTTGATTGGAAGAAAACAAAAAACTGGACAGTTAAGTTTTTATAGTAAAACAACAGGTCATTTTTCTAATCTGTCCAATTCTTTAATATCAGGCTGCAATTGCCGTCTCTGACCCTCAAAAGCGCGATGGAACTGCATTTGGCTTTAAATCTCTTCCTCCAAAGTGGGCACACCCCATTGCAGCCCCTGAGAATGGCTGCCTCCTTGTTTCTACCGAAAAGCTTGATAGCGTCCGCAGCTTTGAGAGAACAGTAGTTCTTCTTCTGAGAACTGGAACTAATCGTCCCCAAGAGGGGCCCTTTGGTCTGGTCATAAATCGCCCACTTGGAAAAAAGATGAAACACATGAAGCCCACAAATCTTGACTTGGCAACCACTTTTTCTGACTGCTCCTTGCATTTTGGCGGGCCTCTTGATGCAAGTATGATCTTGTTAAAAGAAGAAGGAAACTCAGAGCGTATTCATGGATTTAATGAGGTGATTCCCGGTGTGTCATTTGGTTCTCGGAACAGTCTGGAAGAAGCATCTGCTCTAGTAAAGAAAGGGGAGCTTAAACCTCAAAATTTTAGATTCTTCTTAGGGTATGCAGGGTGGCAGTTAGACCAATTGATGGAAGAGCTTGAATTGGGTTATTGGTGTGTTGCTGCATGTAGTGCAAATTTGATATTTGGGAGTTCTCCTTCTGAGAGTTTGTGGGAAGAGATTTTACAGTTGATGGGTGGCGATTACTCTGAGATAAGTCGCAAGCCTAGGAAAGACATTTGAGGGTCCAGTCAGTAGTGGGGTTAGACTTTTTTCTATTATTGATACTAATAATAATAATAATTAATAACTTCGTGGGGTTAGAATTTTTTTAATAACTTCGTTTTGAAGTGCAATGTACATAATGCTAACATCTGTCTCTAAATAAGGTTAATAGTGCACCCCTGTTTGTTCCACTTTTTTTGATAATATTATTCTGTTATGTAGTTTTGACTTATCTCTGATTTTGTACAACAACAACATCCAAGCCTTAATCCCAAAAGAATTTGGGGTCGGCTAACATGAATCGGTCTATGATATCGATGCCAAAAAGAGAAGGAACTTATCTCTGATTTTGTATTGAGCAAAAATAGACATCTAGTTACATTGATGACAGGACGCCTATTACTGCTCTTAGGATGTTTTTACTTGGATTGTAATTTGCTGGTCTGGTCTGATCTGGTCTGGTCTGAATTGGTCTGGTCTGGTTTCTTTGTATTTTTATAACTATCCAAGTCTGGTCTGAACTGGTCTGATCTGGTCTGATCTGGGACGAATTACAGTCCAAGTAAAAACATCCTTACTAGCCTTTCTGCTGTCATAGATGATGTAGCCATTGAGTGGTTGCTTAGCCTTCAATTTGGTGTTCATACTTCATACTGATTCTCAGAATAGTATTTTTTTGCTGAATTCGTTTTGCCATGATTACCTATTTACCTTACCTGTTTTCTCCTTATTTAAATAGCAGTAACAAACTTAAAAAAGAAAAATACTAAACGGAATGAAAAGAGAAAAACTACCAACTTTTGCCTTCTCTCTCTTAAATTTTTCTCCCTTATGTTGGTTTTGTATCTTTATTTATCTTTGCAGTTATCTCTTTTCTTATGATCTTTTCTTTCTTTCTTTATACAGCAATCACATGAGTTACAAATCGCACATTTTTGGTAAAGTTGTATAGCCTAAATTATTCGAAACATATATCTATTAATACTTTAATATGATAGACTAGTAAATTATGTATTACATTGTATAATATACCATATTAAATATTGTATTCAGCTACTAGTCAACAAGGTGGTTTGCTGGCGCCATGCCTCACTGAGTTGCCATTACAACCCTCGATTTTATATCTTTTTCTTCAAATGACAAAATCAAACTTTTGGAAAGGCAGGTAACAAAGGCCTGCAAGTGAACTTGCATTTTCCAGACTGCCGTTTCACCAAATGAAATAGATACATAGACGCATGTATAAACAGTATGGACGAGCAAACATCCCCAACTTACAGGCATAGTTTACCCGAGTCTCTACTCTCTATACAGATTTTTGTAAGTCTCTCCCAGTATAGTAATCCAAATGCAAACAATATTGGCACCTGAACCCAGACCAGTCTTGCCCTTCTGGATATCAAGACTCTGAGTGACCTCAATTGAATCTGGACACCTTCAGATGATCATAAAGTCGAGTTATTAATCGTAGTAGCTGTTCCTTTTGGTCCTGGCTTTGCGAACTGCGTCTTGAATTTGCCTCTCATGTTCCCTCAGCATGTCTTCCATGTTTCCTCCGGGAGGCACCAATGGCCCAGAGCAAAGAATTCTACTTCTCCTCGGGACATAAACCTGAAAATTCAGTGAATTCATTAATAATAAATGTAAATAAATTTCCACAGGAGGGGACTCTTTCATTGCAAGAAAGTGAAAACTATTTTAAGAACTTACTGTGGCGGGGTCCTGGGCAGATAATCTTTCATCTCTGGATGTACTTAACAACGCATTAACTTGTCGCCTCTTTTGAGAACCTTCTCTTAGAAGGTCTCCACCATGATGGGAAGAATTGAAGGTTTGCCCGTGAACAGTTTTACCTCCGTCATCATCCCTTACTTTGTGACCCTCCCTGGCATAACCAGACACATTCGGATGAATCACCGAATTAGAATGGGTGATGCCATTCCTATATTTTACTGCTGCGGGTGGTTCCATATGGAATCCTCCTGCCCCACAGTCCTCCAGTGGGTTGTACTTCACGCTTGCACTTCTATTAGATCGCCCCTGCAGAATCTTTTTCAGTCATGTCCAACAGTAGGACTAAGGGCTTGTATGGTTTGGGGATTTTGGATGGAAGGAAAGAGCATGTGTGATTTTGATTTTGCAGTTTTACTACTTTATCTATATTTGTTAGTTTTAGAGTATAAAAACTACTCCATATATGATTAGGTAAATGATGTGTATCTATTTACTTCACTATATTTCCCACCATCAAAATGTAGAGATTATCAAAAAAATAAATATCATCGATCCCTTTCCCTCCCCCCTGATACCCCCAAACCAAACACGGCCTAAGAAAAATTTAAACAACAAATAAGCACTACATGAACATAGACCTGTCCTTGAGCACTGAATTCTGCAGGTGGTCCGTTTGTGTCCCTTGCATTCTTCTTTGTAGATTCACCTCGACGCCCTTTCACGCTTTCAGCTTTTCTCCTGCATATTGCATTAACGAAATCTACTTGTGAGGTTTGAGGTATCTAAATGTTTAGTAATTCCTGAGTAATACAATTCCAATGGCTTAATGAGTTGATAACTCCCATCTCCCATTCATTCACACTACCCAGAAGCATATATAATAAACATATTACTTGTATTTGATAATGCAAGGAGAGAAATGACAATGGAAAATGAACAACTGATATGATGAACAAAAAACATAGCATACCTTCTTTCCTCGTCTCGAACTTTTGAGTCAAGTTCCTTACTCGGTGAATATTTGGGCAAAGTTGATAGATCACAGGGTAGGGGTTTTGTTGTGAAAAACTGGAATTAAAAGAATCAGTTATGAACTAACTTATCAGGAAACAATGCTTAGCAACTGTTTAGCAATAAAATCACATGTAATTATGTTTAGGAGATTACACTTTTCCTTTTAAGTTTATTTTGCCAATTGATAGCATGCAAGAGTGGTCGTTTCAGTAATCAAGGAGAATCTGAAATTATTGTCTTATTGTGAAAAGAAAATACGAAGTACAAAAGATAAGCTTGTATTCAAGTGTACAGATTGATGACCATTTTAATTGCCTACACTCACTGGTTAATATTCACATCTACATGCTTTGAACCTAACACATTTCCAAATATGAAAAGGTGCAGTTGTTTAGGAATCACGAAAGAGTGATGATATACGAATTGCAGAAGGAAATGAAAAAATTGGAGACATTACAGAATACCTCGCTGTTTAGTGAAGAAGCAGCAGTTCCGCGCTTCTCGGGTTCTATAGAAAGTAAGGTATCAACAAGAGCTAAAGCTGAAGGTGGGAAGTCCTTGAAGGTGTCATTCACACATCGCTTGTACGGCTGCTGTGGTTTAAAACTAGTGGCGTGAGGAAATTTTGTTCTCCGCCAGTACTCCTCTGATGGAGACCCACAAAGCTTGAAGATTTTATGCATTTGCTCCACCTGGAACTTAATCTTTTTTATAAATAAAATTGTGTATTACATTTACGTATGAAATATGGGAAGAAGGGGATAGGGGACCTCTGTTCTTCCAGGCATGATAGGTTTGCCTGCAAATAGTTCTGCAAGGATGCAACCTGCACTCCACATATCAATGGCCACTCCATAATCTGTTGCACCTAGCAAAAGTTCAGGAGCTCTATACCACAGAGTTGCAACTCGACTTGTCAATGGCTGTTTTTTATCAGGATGAAAGGTGGTGGCCAGTCCAAGGTCTCCAATCTTCAGAACACCATTGTCATTGATGAGAAGATTTGAGCCCTTAATGTCTCGGTGAAGCACACCACGACTATGACAGTGATCCAATCCAGAAAATAGTTGTTGCACATAGCATTTAATCTGCGGTTCGGTGAAGTTGACACCAGGCAATGACTCGAGCCCAGCAAGGTCATGCTCCATGTACTCGAAAACCAGATATAAGCTCTCTGATACCCTTGATGTCACCACAGCCTCAAGTTTCATGACATTTGGGTGGTCCAGTCTACGCAAGATGCATATTTCCCTCGCCATGAAGCGGACACTTTCTGCATCCATATTCACAAACCTTACCTTCTTCATTGCTACAATTTTATTGTTTTTCAGGTCTCTGGCCTTGTAAACACTGCTATATGTCCCTTGCCCAATCTGCAATGTCAGCTTGTTGTAAAAAAAAGAAGTCTTTTTTTTAATACCCACAAATTCGATTCTGATTATTCAAAGTATCTTATTCATACTTCGTATATCAGGAGATCATGATCATTTTCAACAAAATGCTCACCAAGGAAAAGTATGTTTTCATGGTTTTGTGTTTAAAATATGATCTAATAATTCTTTTTATTGGTTCTTCATCCATTCAAGAACTTGAACTATCGGAACTACAAATGGACAACAACGATTCAAACTGTAAAATTATCCCTCACAGGTACAGTCTGAAAGTAAAAACTCACATATTAAGGCTCGGATAAGCAAGACTCAAAAAGAGAGCAAAGATCTCAAGATTAGGAAAACCATCATCGTGTGGGGTTTTGTTAAACCATCATACTCTAGTGCAAAAATAAAGATACAAACTCATGTATGAAATTTTAGGTTACTTCTTGTATAAAGATGACCTTGTAAGACGGAGTCTAAATCATAATAGAAACTCAAAAAGAAAGATAACACAAGTTGATGTTAACCAAATCATTTCAATAATATATACAGCAGTATAAAATCGAACATTTATGTATTAGTTCATGCATAGAATTGAATCAAGAAACAATAAAAGAGATGAAGAAGTTAGGAGCTCACTTTGCATATTTTTTCATATGATTCTGCACTTCGAGGAAGCCACCCTTGAATGGCCTCAGCAGCAACTGAACTTAGCCAGGTTGGCCACCCAGCAGCAGCCTGTTCTCCCTTTGCGCCGTGTGGCATGCTCACTATCCTAGAAACTGAATTTGATACCCCGCTAATCCCAAGATCCACGGTTGATCGCCTCTTGTGGCCATCTTTTGGCCTCTCGATAATTCTTGTTTTCCCGTCATTCTCGACTTTTAGCACAGGAACTGAGGTTGTGTTTCTTTCAGGTTCTCGCTTTGGGTTGGGATGTCCAGATCCATCTTTTGTAGTATTAGTGAAGTCCAATGTAACCACCTCCCGGCATGAGGGAGCAACTGTCTGTACAGAAGACTTTGTTAACGCTTTCCCTTTATTTGCATTATCAGTAGCTGTGATA